GTATCTTCTTATTGTATCTTCTTATTATACCTTATCTTATTGTATCTTAGCGTATCATATTGTACCTTATCTTATCTTATTGTACCTTATCTTATCTTACATTTCTCTGTGTGCACAGAATACAAACCCACACTGTATATGAGGTGAAACCTTTTTATTATTCCTGTTACATATTAGGTGCGTCAATGCAGAGTATACATGTACAAACGTAATTTCTCCAAAAATACATCAAAGTGAACTTGGACTTGACTACCAATAAGAAAGAAAGAAGACTATACCTCTCCACCAAAATAAAAGTCTGTTCCTCAATGCTGGACGTCCTTTAACTCCTCCTCCTATTTAGTTTCAAACTAATCTGGTTGAGTTCCACCTTGAGTACAACCTATAACAAGCACTTGACGGGTATAGACATACCATAGAAAACACACAGATACATTCATCACCATCGCCTGGAAAGGTTCCGACCTTCCTGATAAACTACTGTCAAACAGTCACTGAGGAGAGAGCTCAACAGAGAGGACTGTGTTGAAATCAAATCTGAGAGGTCTGCATCGGTCTGATGAACAGTTGAAACGCTGCACTCGTCTTTTTCTTTTTCTAAAACAACAACACAAACTTTCTTCCAAGATAAAACTGACAAATGTATAAGTGGTGTAAGTTTTATCCGACAGATCACTGAAATAAACCTCTGTATAAAATATAAACTCTGAAACTTGCACCACAGTTTTTCTAGAATGATGTAACAAAGAAAAAGAAAACCCGAGAAGAGGGGACATGATCCGCCAGGCCTCGTTTTCATGTTGTACCTTCAAAATAAGAGACTCTGGGTTGGAGTGAGTCGGGCCTGTCAGCGTCTTCTTCACCTGCACTGCAACTCTGAACCCCAGGATTGAACTTCCTGCGTCAGGAAACTGAACAGCAGCAGCAGAGTGGCTGCACCTTCAAAAAACACGCATCCTTTCAAAATAAAGTCCCTTCTGATGACGTTTCGGTAACGTTTAAAGTAAATTTCTTTTGTTTGGAATGTACAGTTAGATCACAGTCCAGTTCTCGTTTAAAAACTCGGCTCAACGTGATAACGGCTCGTCGTTTACCCACGTGGTTGTGTCTGTTAAAGGAGACATATCGTGCTCATGCTTTTAATTTTAAGAAAAAAGTTTTTACGCGCCCCGATCACTTTCCTCCAACTGTTCGCTGCTGCCGCTCGTTGTGACATCACGATTCCCAGGAAGTACCGAGCAGCGTTCTCTGAACTGAAAAGGCATCACATGTCTCCTTTAACTGACGGAGAGCCATCCTCTCGCTTGTGAGCAATGTGGCCTCGTGTCATGTGTCGTCCGATTGGGCGATTGGCAGGTACACAACCCATATAGGCACTATGCAACCACGTGAAAAAAATGAAATTAAAGTTATTCCATCATAGCAATATATTGTGAATATATAATTCTATCTATAAAACAAAAGCCGTCTGGTGGCTCCTATTTCTAATACGTATAATAGTCTAGATGTAAATTATGTATGACAAAATCTAACTTAGCAAATAAGTAACCTGGTAATAACGTGTATACAATCTTTTATTAACATACTGCGATGAGAAGAAATGTGAAAACCTCCAGAGAATTTGAAAGCACCCGGAGAATCTACGTGAAATCCCATAAACCTCCACTGTCACAGTGTCCTCGAGCAAGGCATGAAGGACTACAGGACGGGCGGCGTTGCTCCGCCTCGTCCTGGACAATAAAAGGTTCCTGCTTCCTCAGGAGCTTATCGACGGATCAATAATCACTTCTACTTTCTCCTGAACTCCTCGAGAACTGGAACCATCAGCTGATGGAGGTGAGGCGGTTGTTGAGGAGCCGTTTCTGAAGTGAAGGATGATGGGAGTTCGGTGGTTGTTTAGCTCCGATGTCCCTCGGACACCGATGTTCGCTGCCAGGCTTCGGCTTATAATTATGAAGGATTTAGTGTTTTAATTTCAAATACCCGTGAGTCCTCATTTGCTGATGTCAGATTATTTAGATATTTTGATTTCTAGACTTTAATTTGGTTGAAAAAGTGAAATTTTGTTTGACGTCTAAGCTGCAAATATTTCTTTGTCACCACAGCAGAATTTAAAAACGATCATAATCCTCTCGACACAATCTGCAGTGATCGTTACGCTGGAAAAGCAAAAAAGAACTCGCAAATTATTGAAAAATAACTTTTTGTACCACAAATTAAATTGAATTAGAAATTTTGATTTGAAAAAAATTCCTTTTCCACTTTTTATTTTAAAGAAACAATTCCACATTTTACCAAATATTCTTATTTGCTTTCTAACGTGCGAATGATGTGAAGCTACCCACAACTTTTCATTTTTACACTTTTGGCTCCTTGACAAATTACACGGAAAGGTTCTACCACTTTAGAGGCAGCGGAAGAATGATCTTTTTTCATCATTTAGACAGTTGTGTCCCCGCATCCTGTCTTAATCTAAATTGTCTCTGGATCTTATTAGAGAGCAGACAAGCAGACTTCTCAAAACATGGGAAACTTTAAATTGGCAGCATGTTATTTTTTGTCTCTTGGTTTAGTTGTGGTATCTAGAGAGCAGTAATCTCACAAACCCTCTGGAGGTTTAAATATTTCCCCTCACCCCTGTAAAACATGATAAATGCAAAGGCATATTCCAAAGTTAACAGTACAAATATCAGAGAAACACTAGCAAAGAGGGACATTTATAACGAGTAGTGAGGTTATAATGATGCAGAGCAGAGGTGATGCTATGAGAGCAACCTGGATTTTTTGCGACGTGTTGTGATTTTTCTTTTTTTCTTTTAGTTTCGTGTGTACTTTAAACACTGCCACATATCACACACACAGTATTCCAGTGGCAACCGCAGCGCAGTCCTTGCGTTTTCCTGTCTGCTCTCAGTACAAACTCACGTTCTCCCACTCCACCAGGTATTGAACCTTCCCGTCCGGCGTCACGCGTCTCGCCAAGATCCTCACCGCCTCCCCTCCACCCCAGCTCCTGGCCACTGTCCCGCCTCCTCCGACTCCCACCAGCCCTCCACCTCCTCCTCCTCCTCCTCCTCCTCCTCCTCCGCCGCCGCCGCCACCGCCACCGCCACCCCCTCCGCTTCCTCCTCCTCCACCTACGCCACCGCCTCCGCCCATGCCGGCCTGGTAAGGGGGCAAATCTCGCAGGATGAGGGGCTCCAGCGGCTTCTGCCCCGGTTGGTGCTGGTGTTGGTGGTTGTTGCTGTTGTGTTGGTGGCTGTGATGGTGCTGGTGGAGGTGGTGGTGGTGATGGCTGCCATTGGAATTGAGAGGGTAAGGGAAGCAGGGGGGGGGTAACCTGCAGGTGTCCTCCATGCTGGGAAAAGAGACGAACAGCATCTCAGTCAAATTGATTTGAATTATGACGATGCAAACCACAACAACTGAAAAATAACCTTAACGACATAAACTACTCTAAATACACCAGGTGAGAAAAGGATCATAATTAAATAACAAATATATTTTTGTGTGTGATTCTGTTGCTGGTGGAGCAGAGGGAGCAGCCCTGCGGGGAATGAGGAGGACCGATGATTAAAAACCTGTTGTAGTGATGGAGGCTCCTGGAGAGTGCAGTGTTTCCATTGTAGGTGGTGTGGTAGCGGCCGTACATCCGTTTGGGAGGAGAGCTGAGGACGAGACGCACAGAGTCAACAATCAGATCATGTTTTCTGAGTCCAAGGTTCAGTTTTCCAACCTCTGTCCAGCCATGCAAGGTTGTTTACTATGAAACTTTAAACTTTCATCACAACTTCTCCTGAAGTTTTCCTGTAAAGTATCGTAAAGCGTCAATACCGAGCGCCGCAGACACCAGGACGGCACGACGAGTCCTTACCTCAGGTTAAGCTCCTCCTCGGACTTCCTGGAGTTGTAAAGGTTGGCCTCTCCCATGTAACCATGACAACATGGCAGCAGCTCGATGGGGTTGGCAGCGACCGGAGGTGGACAAGCCTGAGCACAGGAGGCAAACACAGAGACCAGCTTGTGTCTCGATGCCAAAATCATCACAGGAGTCAATCGAGCGCTGATACCTCCGTGCTCACTGGTGCACGAAGTTAATCATGCACACGGAACGATAAATATACATTTACAGACAAAGAACATCCGACTGAAATGTGCTTCACTTCTTTTGTTTGTAAGCTGTGAGAGTTTGAACGGAATGCTCCTGTAGGGGCGGACAAACGTGTCGGCATCGATGGACGCGAGTGACATCATCCTGAGGCTCATCACACACATGTTCTACTCAGACATATCACCTGCATGGCACGTTACACGGACCTGACATGTTAGTGAGACACCTCCTGACACGCCTTCTTCTCACGACTCATGAAAAGTGCAGCTACAGAAATACTGTTCACAGATCATCGTTCACCGGCCTCACTCCGTGTCTGTGCCTTTAAATGGATGTGCTCTGTCAATGCTGCACTGTCAAGGTGCCAGCGCCACCTGGCCAAACTGTAATCGACTGCAAAGTGCATTTGGAAGTGATCCCAGACTACGCATATCAGCATTCCTTCCCATCTCACTTTCACTCCACCCCCACCCCCACCCCCCCTTCCCGCGCTACAACAAACCTGCTCCTCCAAGAAGGACGGAGATTAGCATCGATCAGAGGGGGCACAATGCGGCCTGGATGTGCCGGAGTGAGAACGAGTTCTCTCTGGAGCGTATTGTTCCAGGATTACTGTACGTGCACACACACACACACACATGGATCAGAGTGATGTGTGGGAGGACGCAGCACAATGAGCGTGGTTAAGAATGCTGGGTAAAAATAGTATCTGCCACGTGTGATGCTGCCTGTTTGCAGCGTGATCCACCCCGGGGGGAATTGGGTTTGATGATCGTGATAAACGCGCCGCCGATGTGCAGATGTTGATGACATACACCGGTGGGTTTTTGTGCAGCCAAGTTCTTATTTGAATTATATATTTTTACCTCTCACACACACACACACACATGCCACCTCTGCCCTAACCATGAGAGCATCAGCAGGCGTTCAACACACAGCAAAAGAGAGCAGAAGAACACTGAGGTGCCGGAGCTGCACTGGGTGTTAAAAGACAACGCAGACGGAGCTCGACTGCGAAATGAACCTTCATCACGGCGTCTGACTGACAGGTTATTTGGATCACAGAGAGCTGTTTACCTGTCTGCATGAGAGAAAAGAACCAAGGGAAAAATATAATCACAGAGGTTTTGTGGCCCAGACCCAACCCCCAACCCCAACCCCCACCCCCACCCCGTCCCCTGAGCTGGAGACAGAGGCACTGACCTGTGTCTCCATGATGCGACGCTTTGATTTACGTGACTCGGGCCCCCCGACTCTCCTCTGGCAGGGCAGTGACAGCGGGCTGAAGTGAACAACAACACACATAAATTAAAAGAGGAACACACACATTCGGTCCCAAAGTGCCAGGTGTAGTTTATTAGCGTGTCTCCTGTGAAGGTCCGCCGAGGGACGTAAAAAATACAACAAGACGAGGGCAGTGAGATGAAGAACCCTTTGATTGTGTCGGAGACAAATCGTCAAAGTGAAATGCGTGAAAAGAAGCAAAATAAACATGAAACACTCGGGGTCCCCGTCGTCGTGTTTCCGGTGGAAACTCGACTTGTTCCTCGCAGCTTGTCTTTCTGACTTATTCATGAAAATGGGATTTAAGGGGTCTAAAATCCCGCCGGAGGCCGAAATGTCTACGCTGCATGGAATACACAACATACATAAATTCATCATTACGCTATAATTAGAGCGGCACCAGGAGCAGGAAATTAAATAAACAGTATATTTGTCTTGAGGGCGACGCCGAGCGAGAGACAATGGAGTCATTAAGATCAGAAGGATTTAAACTCCGACAGGCTGCAGTGTGTTCGGGAAACCGCGCGCCGCCCTTCACCCCCCACTTCATTATGAGATATGTGGTGCACAGAGTTGACGCTGGGGTCCGAGGGCGACTCTAAAGAAAAGTTTAAGTGGTGTCTAATGTAAAAAACGATTTTTAATTACAATTTTCCCATTAGATCTGTGATGTTCCTTCTGCAATTCTCTGCAGGATCCAAGACGTTGGAGTCCGACAGCACATTTAGTGACATGTGTATAAATACGGTCATTAAATGTGCAACTGTGTGATGGAAAGATAATGAAGTTAATACAATCAAATGTCATGTTGGCACGAATGTGTTCAGTCGACTCTTTTAATGTTAGTTCTACTTATTAATGTTGATATTTCAAATATTACAACATATGTATAAATAGTACGTTTCTACTTTGTGCATTAATAAAGTACTTTTTATTCTCTGCTTATAAAATCCATAATACTTATTTGTTTCAAAAACATTTACAGTATTTAAACACAGAAGGACATTTGTAGTTTTTATAAACTAAAGTCCAGTTATTTTAAACTAATGTAACTCTAATCCTTTGCTGCCGTCAGACCTTTCAACCAGCTCTGCTTCCAGTCGACCACATTTCCTCATGTTTAAATTGCAAGTTATATATTATATATTACTTTTTTCCAAATTCCTCAACCGGCAACGAGAAACACGTTAATCTCCTTTTTGAGTAGGTTTAAAAAAATAACCTGCGTCCACCCTCTAGTTTTGTTGAATAACAGGTATTAATGTGATTTCATTATAACGACAGTGTTGGTTTAACACGGGTCACTAGTCTCGGCCTTCGAGTGTATTCATGTATCGTATTGTTCACCGACGCTCTCCTCGATGTGAGACTAATACAGGATTATTCTTTATCTTAACAACCTGAATTCACGATCAGTCAACCATCCACCGCGTGTGTTCCTGGTCACTGGAAACTTGCAGGTTGTTGCGACTCAGATGAAAATACGTGTAAATTGTTTTCATTAAAGCTCCCACCTCCACTGCAGCTACACGTCCACCCACACACCTCTCCACTGCAAATGATTTCATTATGATTCTGTCTGAATAAGCCGCAGCTAAGTGCTGAGAATTATTCCAAATGAAAAGTGTGACTATGAAACGTGCAAACCGCAGAAACACGCGTACGCACATGTGCACGCGCACAGACGCACACATGTGAGCACACGGGGGAATGCAATGCTCTTTCAGAAGAATGTTTAGACACAGATACTTCTGCTGGCAAATGAAAATCGCAAGTTCTTTGATTCCTGAGTTAATTGTTCATGCATAATAAGTCTGCACCCCGTGGGAAACCCAGAGCTGGTCTGGAGATAAGAGCCGAAAGGAGAGAATCTGTCCTTACTCTGACCTTCTGCGGTGTGTGATGTTGATAGGTGGCTCTGTGATAAGGGGAGACGAATCGGAGGTCAGCGGAGGTGGGGCTCGGACCTGGAGCCCAAAAAGACACTTCTTCTTCTTGATCTCCTTTCCGGAAACGAACCTGAGGCGACATCAGAGGCACAGCACGTAAAGAAGAAGCATCTTTAAAGAATTATCATCGTGAGTGTGTGTGTGTGGGTTTTTTTTTCTTCTTCATCACAATAAATAAAGAATTTAAAGTTTTGAAAGAAATTTTTCCTCCAAATTAAAAAGTAGCCTCAGGTACATTTTAAAAGTAGAATCAATTTCCACAGAACTTGGTGGACAGATGCATTGTGGGTCAGGGATCCAGGAGCATGTTTCACTTTCTGCGAGACGGGGAGTGTCTCAAACTTTTCTCAGATTTTTCTCCGAAAGTGGAATTTGGTGCAGATCCAAATAAAAATCCCCAAATAATTAAAATATAGTTTCACAAAGGTCGCAGTCTTAAATTTGACATTTAGCAGGATTACACACAAAAAAAACTGGACGGATTATCGCGGAACTTGGTGGAAGGATGTGTAATGGATCACGTCCTTTAATAATTACAAGATTGAAGCGTTTTCCTTTTTGACATTTTCACTGATTTCCCCGCAGAACAAATCTGAGGGTTCTGACGGTGGAAAAGAATCTGGCAGATTCAGTGAAGTGATATCGAGGAGTTTGGTGCGGTTTGGAGAAATGAGCAGTTTTCGTAACTTTGCAAACTAAAAGCCTCTTCGTCATTATCATGATTAAATACCTTTGATTTTTGTCCTTTCAATAAAAGTCACATTTCATCAGGTGTAATCTCTTTATTCACCGTCACCTCGCTCACTTCAACCTGCACGTCCGACATGACGCCCTGAGAGGACGCCTGTATTCATCAATCCAAGTCATGTGTGCCGTTTATTCTCCTCATCGTATGCGGGGACTCACCTGTCCTTGTGGGAGTTCAGAGCGTTGAGGAGATTGTGACAGCGGTCCTGCTTCGGCGTGTCAGAGAGCTGGAGGACAGACGGGAGTGAAAGAAAAAAAAAAAAAGAAATCAGAGCTATGTTTGCACAGCGATCAGACGAAAAGACCTCCAATGCATACAATCATTTTCTCCCACAGTCCCTGACAGATGTAGCGTTGATATTGGAACCTGCTTGGCTGAGAGACGTGTCATGTGAACACAGGAACCCCCCCCCCTCATGTCACCTCTACTTTTATCTTCCTGTTTATTCTCTGTGGAACCACTTCAGACTCGGAACCAGATGGTATCAGAACTCTGAGCCTCAGCACTGCGGTTTGAAGATGTGTCCAAATTAAAATGTTTGCAAATACCGGTCACAGTGTCTCAACCAGGGGAACTTCTCTTTAATCCTTCTTTTGGCGTGGACAGAGTCATAATGATGGAACATTCTTAGATTATGTGAATAAAATTGCTAAATTTAATCCAAAATCTTCAACCAATTTCATTGTTTCTTGACAAACAGTCGACTTCTACTGTGTGAGTTTGTTCGTTTACGCAGGATTACAAAAAAAACACCCCCATCATCATTCTGGTTTGAATCCGGATCAGAGGGTGGATCCAGGTTCCAGCTTTAACTAAATTTTCATCTCATCCATCAGCCGAACACTAATTATCTTTTTTCTGGATCCAAAAAGTATATTTCCTCTTTTGAAAGTCCTGATCCTGGTGATAATGTGGAGCTGATGAGCCAAAAGATGACATATTTTATCATTTGTGCAACTTATACTGAAGTATTACTGATATTAAAACTCTAACTTTATTTCTGTAATATCATTTTATTCGTGAAAGCTCATATTTCTTCACTTTAAGTGGACCTTGTACTCCACCACAGAAAAGGTAATGGATTGAAATACAGCGTCAGCCGTTGGACAAACAGTTGAAATAGTCAACTCAGACTAATCAAACATGGTTGAAATATTAAACCAAAGCTAATGAGTAATTCCCCTTTGAGCTAATGTAGAGGTCACACTTTTATTTAACATAAAATTTTACTTTAACAGTGGTTAATAGGCTTTATGACTCAAATGCATAAAGGCTGCCGGCATTTCACACGATTTCATCATGGTGCTTAAACGGGGAAATATCAATACCGCGCCTAGGAGCAACGAGTCCCAGTTCTCGTTGGTGAAGGACAGGATTTCATGGTCAAAATCAAAGTATTTCCTCTTGCAGCACAGCGAGAGATGGTAGAGAACTAGGTGAGCCAAGTCCACCCTGCGTTTAAAGAGAGAAAGGTACGAGGTCAGATCGTCAGAAGCAGGTAAAATACAGAAATATCACAATTTGTTTTTTTTAGAATATTTCATATTTCCAACATCTGAGAAATCCTTGTTTCCTTATCCAGAGCAAAGGAACTTTCAGACCCGCGGGACAAGTCCGGAGAATTTGGTGCAGACTTTACCCGGACTTTTCCTTCCACGCGACGCAGCGAGAAGTGACGAGTTAACTCTGCCGAAGATCACGTGACTTTCTTTCAAACACACAGACGTCGGCTCTTATCGCCTCAAACTCTCTCAGCAACTTCGTCGGTGTAAGCAGATAATGCGGAGGCTCTGTATTTTGGCGTTCACGCTCCAGAGAAAGTACGGAGCTCCGCAGAGTCGAGCGAACGTCTGAAACCAGCCTAACTATCTCAGTAACTAAAACAATTGTTTAACTATATTTTTACACTGCACTTTTAGACCCAACTAAACATGGAAATATACTGAAAAAGGAGTTTTAAGTTTTAACACCTGATAACGACAGGATAAAATGAGTTATTGAAGTTACGATGTCGCTGCCGGTGTTACTGACCAGGTCATGGGTAGTCTTTGGATGGTCTCTGGTCCCTTTGTGCACACGGAGCACTGGAACTGATAAAACCTGAAACAGCAGAAGGAGGAAAAAAAAAAAAAAAGACAGAAAATCACACTCAGGTGTCGTAACACTGAAAAAAAAAAGTTTCCATAAAGTTTCAGTTTCTCGTATATTATATATTCTTTCTTTCAAAGCATATTTTAAATGTTTGGACCTGAACAAGTATATTATCCGTCTTCATCCATGTTGGCTGGTTTTACCTCCATCGAGGTTGTTTGTCTGTCTTTTAGCGGGATTACACTAAAACTACTTATTACCTACTTAATCTATTTCCTGGAAGCTTCGGGTGGAAATGTGTCGTGTGTACTTTGACCGAGACGTCTCCCACAAGCACTCGAACGGAAAAACACAGTGCAGGTGCTTGGTTCTTTCCTCAACACTCAAAGTTCTTCTTCCATTTTACCTCCCTTGAAGAATCCATACATGTCCCTCTCGTCTCTGTGTACGTTACCATAAATCAGCTGAAACTGAACGGACAGGTATATCTGCTCCGAGGTAAAATATTCTGTCCTGGGTGACCCTGAGGCTCGTGTGCGTCTGTCCTCCTATATGCATGTGTTGGCAGAAGGTCGTTGGGAGAGATGAAGTGCAGACTCTGTATGACGGCGCTACGTGTTTGCTATTCCAACTGTGAACTCCGTCTTCACTCTTCCTCCATCACACGCTCGGCAGATGTTGCACCCGTCCGGGCCTCGCTCTACCCGGCTGTCAATCTACATCTAATCCCCCCTCCTCCTCAGACAGGTTCGGCAATAACACCGTGTCAGCGCGGGCGTAAATCCCAGTCAGCTAACGCAGATGGTTAATGACAATAATAACTTAATGGATGGGTACATTTTATTACACGCACGAGATGCCGCCCCGTCTAACTGCACCGCCATCAGCAACCCGCGCATCCACCCCAGCGTCGCATCCAGAACTTTGTCCCCGTCTCTGCTCCGAGTGTGTGCGGAGAGCTTGTCCTTGAAAGACGAGTCAGCGAGTGCATTTACATGAGCACTAATCATTTAGTCTTAAACCAATTAAACAAGGGGAAGCTGTCATGTACACGTCTTCCACCGATCATCCTGATCAGAGTGAGCTCTAAAGGAAATGAATAATCGACAGCTTTGATTATTGGCATATTCGTGAAGTAGAAATACCAAACGCTGAGCGGCTCCGGTTCTTTAAACGTTGTATTTCTCGACTTGTATAAAATTGTAACCTGAAAATGTTTGGATTTTCAATTTCAACTCTGAGAAATGATATATATTTTTTAATTTATAACATCTCATGGACTAAATGATTAATCAGATCATGAAATAAACTGAACTGAAAAAACAAATAAAAATACTCATTATTTGCTGCCACTAGTAAATTAGAAACTGGAGTACACACAGTACAAGCACAACTGTGTGTACCCGACAAAGAAATAAACGACATATGAAAGAAACGGATCAATTTAAACCAAGTCAACAGAGAAGTCACATGAAAACACAGATCAAATATTAGATCCTGACTTTTTACTGTCAGGACATTTACCATTTGAACACGATTACACAAAAACCACCGAACAGATTTTTATGCTACTTGATGGTAAGATGGGAAATCATCCAAGAAAAAACTCATTACAGTTTTGGTGTGAATCGGGACAAAAGAGGCAGATCCAGGAATGTTTCATTTTCTTTGACATTGCAAAATAAACTTTTTTTTTTACTTTTACATTTTCATCCGTTCCCCTCAGAATAATTCGTGGACCTCAAAGAAAATAATCAAGCAGATTTGTGTGACTGAATTTAAAGGGCCTTTGTGGAGGCGTCATTCTAGTTTTTTTTTTTTTTTTTTTTATGTAACTCGAAATGCCAGCCAGACTTTTAGGTTTGTTATAAAGAAAGAATGTCAGAATTATAATCGTGAATGTGAAGAAGAGCAGTTTCCACAGTGATGCTCGGTCACGCACCTGTCTCCATACAGTAATGGCTTTGTTAGACACTGTGTACAGGCCTCGTGGAACCACTGACCACAGCCTCCGCACTGCAGCATCTTCAGGTTCCACCTGCGATTCAACGAGAAAAACACCGACCACACTTACAACAGATGAATGAATGAACGCGCCCAACATCTGTCACCTGACCACCCTGCATCTGTGATGCGTCTGCAGGTGTAAACTCCCACAGGGTCCGACTGCTCGTACAGATGTGGCAGATGGGAGTTTGTCTGATTCCGCTTCAGACGCCAGATGTGAGCAAAACATATGCAAAGAAGGAAAGTATGAAAAACAGCAACAACACTTTTTAAAAAGACAATTTGATGCACTTTTTCTTTTTGACTGACGTCTCCTCTGACGGAATCTGAATGGACTCAGCTCACGCATCATTCCATGAAAGTCAAAACAAACTAAGAAATCCCGCTAATGCCGCCTGACGCACGTCTGATTCGCCGCATGCAATTCACACATAATCCAAACGACGGCATTGACCTGGATGAGGTCGAGCTCCGAGAGAAAAGAGCTCACATGAAGGGTACATTCAGACTCAAACTGGCCTCTGCAGTGTCACTCACTCTCCAGGTCCGGCACAGTAGCAGTAACACTGCTGCTGATTGGTCAGGTGCTGCGGGTCCCAGTCCAGAGACGACAGCTGGTAAGGGAGTCGGAGTTTCATAAACTGCATGAGCCGGGCAAAGCGTCCCCGCTTGAGGGCCCCGCCTCTCTGAAAACACACAATTTGAGAGCACAAAGTGACGGGTCGCCTTCGTCTGCGGATAAAACCATTCGTCTGATTTTATTGTGGGTCAGCGGTGGGAGACGGTGACCGAGGCGGCAGACGTCTGGACAATGAGATACGGACATTGAGCGATTGACAATTAACCGGGTCTCATCTCATATCTACAGAACTGGAGCACATGTGATTGATTGACTTTAAATGTACTTCTATCAACTCCATCGCAGTTTTTCAGCCTCCTAACTATTGACTGTTCATGATTTCTTGGACACAATGTAGAACATCTAATATCGGAGTCAATACTGAGGGAGTCAGTGTGCCCCTGCCGCAGATAAACCCATTACCTGCCGCACACAACACTGTGGTGACAGCAAAGCTTGATATATTTGACTGGATTTCTCCGATACTACACACTGAATGGTTTTTTGTTTTTTTTCCTCCCCAGAGTGTGAGACGAGGAGATTCGAGGTCTGACCTTGGTTGCGACTGCAAAGACACATTGCCGACATATCCACGAGTCGCTGTCAGCTTCCGGTTCGATGGTTGGCGTGTGGCACTCTGGATGATAACCTGTAATGGGAGGAGGAGGCAGAGCGTTTAATTCGTGTTTACCACACAGACAGGCTGAGTGACAATAATGGCAGAGCGGCTCCACGTTTTTAGTGCTCTGCTGGGTTTGTTTCAGCGACATGCAAAATACTTTACTTTACTATTTACATCCCGGGAGCGAGGAAGTATGTTTGTCTGCTTTTTTTTTTTTTTTTTTCCTTCTCAAAACAAACTGACGGCAGCCGTGTTCGCCTGACAGAGCTGTGGAGACATAATTCTGCTGCCATTTCCAGGAGCTGAGCGTGTTCTGCAAAACTTCTGCCATCTTGCACATCAGGATATTTAATTTCATCATGATTCAGGCTCACTGTTGAAGCCCCCCCTCACTCAGAAACACGTTTTGCTTATTTTCCTGCAAAATGGCACATGAGAAACCAGAAACCAGATTTTAGAACGGCCTGCCAACGAAGGGAAAACTTCTCTATGCTCACTTTAAATGCAAGTTTATGGCACCTACGCACTGAAACTGGATTTAGGAGAACGTCTAAGGCTCATTCTTAATTAGATGATTAGGTTTTTGTGATGAGACACAAACATGCAGAAGTATTTTAAAACGTATGTGTAGATGATCTTTAAATCAGTGACAAGCCCGAGTAAAAACACCTTAAAGTCCACAAAGAAACTTCCACCGCCTCCTTGTTCGTTTTCATTCTAGTCAGGATCCAGGTGCAACAACTCGTATCTATCATTTATGAAATGTGGTTTTCTGTATTGGTTGTTTTTTTTTTAAAAGAAGAGCAACACTTATTTACCACGCTATGTCAAATCTTCAAGGTCAGTGCAGGAACGGGTGGAGAACCACCGCTTGACAGCACATGATGAGGCGTGCTTCCTTACCGTGGCGACATTTAAGACAATTTATGAGGGGTTCTTTAAGAGGCGGCGCGTCACAGATACAGCAAACTTCTTCCACTCCAGCGGCAACTGAGGCAAACGCAGAAAGATAGAGGGAGGAAGACAGACAGAGAGAGAGAGAGAGAGAGAGAAAGAGAGAGCAGTCAACAGGATTAATTTATGTATATTGATTCACATCCTTGCCACCTCATTGATTTCAGTGTCTCCTGCACCCTTTCAGATTTCACTTCATTTGATGGGCAGATATTCAGCCTGGTCCCAACAAGCATCTAACTTCCTGCTTGATGTTAGGTGGAGTGGGAGGGTGCCACTTCCCTGAGGAGTCACTAGTCTAATAAATTCATAAATAGACTCTAATATACCAATTACGCCAGAACGTGGCCCCATCTGAACACTCGGGGCCCGAACTCGTAACCTTGAACACGATAGTAATCTCTCCTCAGAAGGTGCAACATAGAATTAAAAGTTTGAAGCTCATGAGCGGGCGGGAATCTGGAAAAAGTGTTTCTGCAGCTGCTCGGGTAAAGTTTCAGCTTCGGTGTGAGTTCAGCCGATCAGAAACCCCAGAGCAGCAGCATTATTTAACAACAAGCAACACAAAGTGCTCCCAACAGGAAGCTATTTACTCTTCTGGCTGACGGGAGAGGGAGAGGAGGGGGGGGGGAGGAAGAGAGTTCCACTTACAGGAGTGAATGTCCTTTCTCAGCACCCAGAACTCGGAGTTGTCCTCAAATCTCACCAGGCAACATTGCTTGACGCCGTCGACCTGAGAGGGAGAGAGCAGGTGAGCGGGATGATTGACAAAAGTAAATGGAAGTCGCTTTAAATCCAGGTGAAGACGCTCTCCGACTCACAGAAAGTCTCTCTCTGTCACACACTCGCTCCCATATATGCACTTACTCTTTTTACATTGCCGAGGTACAGTAGTCCATCACTCCATCGAGCCAAAACATCATCTCCTTCACTTACTCCCCCCATCCTGAGGAGAGAGACAGAGAGGGAGAGAGAGAGAGAGAGAGAGAGAGAGAGAAAGAGAGAGAGAGAGCGGTGCTCATGTGAAATGGAAATCCGATTTATTCGATGAATACTTTGCTGCTGCTGCTGACAGAGGGGTTTATGGCCCCGGCGTTCGGGCTGGCTCTCAGACAGACGGGCTTCGGTGCAAAGGGGTTAAAATCTCAACCTCCTCCTCCTCCTCCTCTTTTTAGACCATAGCGACAGCCTGTATCCACCGCTGTAAAAGATGAGAGTGAGTACACAACCAGAGAGCAAGACAAATGATTATTGCACACATGAAACACAAACGCACGCACACACACACACACACACACACACACACACACAGACATACAGCTCTGCTGCAATACAGTTTGATTGAATGAACAAAGATGAGTGTGCGGCGACTTGAAGCATCAGCCGTGCACTTTGCTGGTTTTTTCTCCTCCAACATCTTAAAAACTTGATTAGCTGCATGGAAATGACAGAGCGGGGCATTATCTCTGCACGCTGAGCATTTGTTCCAGTACATGCACTCAAGTCAAGACAGACGCAGGATGCATAACAGTGCATGTGCAGCCTTTTGTGAAAAGCAACCAGGTATATGAGAATGTGCCAGGGGTGAAGGGTACCTGTCAAGTGGAGAACTCCTATCCGTCGGGGGTCACACTGATTCCCGGCCAGGCTGGACATGCGATGCCCTCCTCTGCTGTGGAGCTCCCGGTGCCCAATTACTCCAGGATGCGCAGCCGGAAAAAAAAAAGTGAATGATGTGCATGTATGTGCCAAGCGCCTGTGCGAGCGTGCGTGCGTGCGTGCATGTGTGTGTCAGTCAAGCCGTCAGCGAGGAGGAGGAGGATGAGGATGAGGATGAGGAAGAGGAGGAGGAGGAGGAGGGGGTAAAGGCGACTGACTGTCCGTCCGTCTCTCAGCCTAGTTTGTCCGTCCTCCTCCGCGCTGCTGTTTCGTCATGTCCCCGTCTCTTATGGCTCTCACCCCCGCCCCCCTCACCAGCAGCACCCCGCCTCTCCGCCGACACCTATGCTATTAAAGCGGGTTTGTCAGCGCAGCAGCATCAAGCCGCCAGAGACGCCATCATCCCTGCCTCTCTCTCTCTCTCTCTCTCTCCCCCCCCCTCTCCCTCTCGCCTCTCGACTTGTTGTGACGCAGACATAAAACACGGAGATAGAGTGGGAGGGAGATAGTGATGGAGGTGGTGGAGGATGAGAGGAGGGCGGCCGGGGCGCACGGCTGGATCCGCGGCCAGAGCAGCTTGTACATCCCCCCCCCCCACCCCCACCGCCCGCCTGTCTGCAGGAGCTGACCCTAAATCGTTGTGACAAGGTGGGATTGTGATGTCTGGGGAGCAGGAGGACAGAGGAGGACAGAGGAGGAGAGATGGATGGATGGAGAGAGGGATGGATGGTGCTGGAGGAGCCGGTGGGAGCAGCGCGCGCAGCTGCAGGGGCCAATTAAGTGGCCAATTAGTGAGTTTAGCCGCCTCATTAATTGGCCTGTAACAAGAGGGAGCAGCAGAGTTTAGAGGGAAACCCAGGGAGGCAAAGTTTTATAAGTGAGACGCCTGAGCAAACGGTGGTTTAAACGTTTCTTCATCACCTGTTAACTCTTGCAGAATTAAAGGAGGGATGTAGATTCAAAGTGGACTCTCAGGAATAACACGTCACATTTACACGTCCAATGATGTCACCAGTGTGCATCAAAAAAAACCCTACAGAATCATCGATCCACTGCACAAGTACTTAAGAAGCAAACGTCTGGAGAAGCGTCTCCGGTGCAAAGTGGACAGATGTGCCACCAGCTCTCCCGGGACATCCCGGATGTGATGGGATGTGTGATGGTGAACAGGCCTGGCTCTCATCACCACTTCAGTCCAACAACACGTTCACCACAAACAAACTTCTGGCCTCAGTCAAACACAAACCAAAAACACACACTGTAATATGTTTCAGATGATGTAATAAGTTCTTTAAACAAAGTCAGACCTCAGAGGGAAGCTGCTCCAACACTCACTGGCTCATTATCACCGTGATGGATTTGGCACATTTACATTAAACTCACAGTTTAACGAGTTCAGAAGATCCACTTGTGTCCAGGACAGTTCACGTGTCTCTTCTTGTTTGTGTGTCTCACGCGTTCCTCTCACCAGTCAACAGTGAGCTGACACCGCCGTGTGGTTCAAAATGGCCCCTGGCACGTTCAACAGTGCCAATTTCCAGCTGCCACCAGTAGGCGGCGTACAAATACAAGGACTACACAACCACTGTGCTGCAATCAGCCTGTCAGTCTGACAGACAGAAGCAACAGAAGGGAATGATGGGATATGATATATGAGATATGAGATATAAGATATAAGATGTGATATCTGATATGTGATATAAGATATATATTATATGAGATATGATATGCAATATCACATATGAGATGTAATATAATATGAGATATGTTACATAATATATGATATATGACATGATATGTGATATGAAATGATATATGTGATATGTTATATATGATATATGATATATGATATGTGATATATGACATATGATATGTGATATATGATATATGATATGTGATGTGATATGTGATGATATGTGTGGTGAGTCTCCAACAGTTCAGGGTCATACGTCATATGTCACCATAACTTTGCTATAAAAGGTCACAATCCCACTCAATTTGACTTCAATAAACTTTAATGTAAACATTGCCTCTTTTCACACGTGCACAAACTTAGTCTCCAATTATTCCTCCAGTAGATTTTCCTTTATTTGATATATGTCATGTCTTTTATCTCCCCTTTACATCCCATCAGTGCTCAGCTGGGTTGAGATGTGGTGACGGTGAAGTTCAAATCATTTTCTAACTCATGAATCTGTTCGCTGACCCCTGACGTCCAGTGTGGAATCATCTGCACTTGATATGTTTCATGAATACTGTATTTTGTGTTCTTCATTTACTTTGTCGATGCACCGTCACCACAGAGTGATGAAATGTAGAAAAAGCGCAGCTTGTGAAAACACTTGTGTAACGTCTTCTCGTGTAGATTTCCCCAATTGAGAAACAACTCATTGTTTCATCAAGGTTTTCTCAGGTTGCATTTTAAAAACAAGAAGCTTGACATTACACGTCTTGCTTGTCATGGTTATGAGTTGCATTCTGGGAAATGCAGTTTTAAGTTTGACCAGTCTATGTGTTTGACCTGAGGGACATCCGGGTTGCAAATCCCTAAAGTGCTGTTGACATAACTGGAGATTAAATATTAGGAGTAAAAACTAGGATTAGAATCAGAGTAGTTCAGGATTAAGCCTTGGATATGGTGACACTGGGGGGCTTAGGTTCAGGATTTCAATTAATATCTAAAAGTTTAAATGCCAGGTGTCTACAGGAAAGGGTTTTTGCATGATGGCAGAAATATATATATTAAGCTATAACTCAAAGGTTTTAAATGGATATAAAGTTAAAGTCAGATTGGAATTTGAATGTGTTCTGTCTACAAGCTTCACTTTGAGCAACAGGTTTCACTCTGGATTAGGTTGGATGTTGTACAGATGTTGTAAACTACACTGCAGGGTTACAGACAGACAGACCGCCGCTCGTGCGTAAAAGTGTGCCAGTCTCCCCCCCCCCCTTCCCCCTCCCCTGGTGCTGCGGTGCGCCGGGGGCCTGGTCTGGTGCTCAGCCTCCTCGCAGCGGGTAGGTACCACCCAGAGAGACGGAGCTGTTGCCAAAGAGTGGAGCTGCACAACATACAGGAACTGCAACGTCACAGTGAGAGAGAGGGAGAGAGAGAGGGAGGGAGAGAGAGAGAGAGAGAGAGAGGGGAGAGGAGAGGAGAGGGAGAGAGAGAGTCAGAGCAAAGTGCGCTATCAGCTGCTGAAGGCTGGACACACGAGAGGCGTGGGGGATACTGATAGGGGGTGGGGGGGACACAGAGAGGTAGAGGGTGGGGGAGAGGAGACTCCCTCGTCGTCGTTGGGTGACGGTGGCACAGATGGGTGCGACTCTCCACAGCTGAGCCACGGATCCAGCCTGTGCGCCCGGCGGCGCTGCACGATCCGCGCTCTCCTCAGCTGGAAACGACACAATCCTGCGAATGACACTTCACCACCAGTGAGTTCCAGCTTCCGTCATTTATCTTCCTCTCGTCGGTTCAGTGTCGCTTATTTCGTTCATTTCCGAGGCCTCGGCGTCGTCACATGTCAGCATCCGTCACAGCATCTGTGTTATAGAGGGAGTGTGGGAGAGTGCGCACAAACTTTTACAGCCCTCCAGGCTTTAATCTCATCCACTGTGACATGCTATCATGACTGTAGCACCTCCCTATGGCTGCATGGATTCTGCAGAAAGAGGAGCATGGGGTGTGACTTACTGTAACCTAGTTACAGCTGTGTGTGTGTGTGTGTGTGTGTGTGTGTGTGTGTGTGTGTGTACACACCTCAGTCAAATGTGGGCTGTTTGCTTTGGTCAGTGCCTCTGAATAGAAGCCTTTCAGACCTCTGCATCAGCCGTTGGTCCTGGAATAGACTGCACAGTGTGTATGACTTGTTTTCCTCTGCAGAGCTGCATGTTCCCGTCTCCTCTCTCATCCTCAAGCAGGAGCACAATGAGCTCAAGTGCAAACCTGTGATTAAAAGTGGATGTCGGGCTAACGCTCCAGGAGCTCCGGGAGCTCCGGGAGCTCCAGGAGGCCGAGACCAGAGCACAAGTGGAAAGTTGGGAGTGCCGGCACATTTCCACACACCATCACACCTGAGGCGTTTTATATCTGCAGCTCTGTCTCATCCTGTGAGAGCAGACGGGGGTCCAGGTCACTCTCCCTCAGATTGAAGTGTTAGCAGGCTGCTTGATTGATTCTGTGCCAGTTTAAACACCGGAAAAAAACGTTCTGCACATTTTTTCTCTCAGAGCCAAACGGGTTTCATTGTAGAGCTGCAGGGGAGTGTGAGAGTTAACATTCAGACTGTATCAACCGCTCCATCACTCTCCCTCCTACACCTCTCTTCCTCTTCACTGTTTACAAGATGTCTATCTTCATGGCAGCGCAAATGCCAAAGGGGGGAAAGGGAAATGGAAGGAGGAGGAGGAGGAGGAGGAGGAGGAGGAGGAGGAGGAGGGGTGCATGCAAATCCTGACCTGCTGTGGGGCACAATGAACATGTTAAACAAACCTCCCCGGTTAACTCATTGTAGTGTCTTCCTTTCATTTAAGAAACACCATAAAAGTTGTGTTGTTACTGTTAAAATAAAAGTTGTGTGACACATTTTGTCCAAGTCTGATTTTGATCAGGCTCAGAAGAATAGCTGACATTTTTAAGACAACAACATTAATGGAGATACATCCTTTAGTCACATCATCGGGAAATATATATTCATTGTTCTAAACTTCTTGAATAAGAATATTTTATGCTTTTCCCATTAATTTTTTTTGTAGGTACTGTGTAGGACAGGTGGGCACTTGAAACTGTTTTTGTATGTTGTAAGTAATCAATCAAGAATAATAATTGTGAGGTTAATTCATGTTGAAAAGAATTGATAATTACAGCAGTGTTCTAGTTATTGTAACCCTGTGCCATATATTGTAATCGAATCGTGAATGTTTCAGTCTTCCCTTGTTTTAATCGACACATGTCAATTTAAAAACGTGTCCATTTAGGCAGTGCATGTTTCTTTCCATGGCTCTTTTCCACATTATCAATAATGTCTGGACTCCAGCATTAGCATCCAAAAATAATGATTTTTAAATAATGTGTCACTTCGGCCTCAAGCTTTTAAACGTTGCTCTTGTTTCCACCCAAACACTCAAAGTGGTTTTGCCCGACCAGCTGCTGAAGAGACACTTACTCTTTCCTCTGCTCTTCCTGTCTGTGGCAGCCGGCACCATGCTCCCTCGTAACCTGCGAACAGGTGGTTATGACCTGCCGGGCGTGGATTCGAGCGAAGTGCCTCTCATTGGCTACCGGCCCTTACCGCCTGACCGTGGCACCCCGAGCCACCAATCAGGGAGAGGAGGAGGAGGAGGAGGAGGCAGCGATGAACTGGAAACTTCACAAGTGAGTGTTTTTCCCTCAATTAAACGCCTCCATCTCTATTTTCTTTGGCGTGAGAACAGATGAGGTGGAGGAGAGAGGGATCAGCTTTTTCCTGCATTGGCGGTTAGTAATAGTATTGTTTGGATACTGATCATCTGTGCGGCGATGTGATGGAGCTGCACAGGGAATTGGGAGAACGTTTCATTTGTCGAGGCTCCCCCGGCCTTCGCAGCTCACAGAATTTAGAGCAGACGTCCTCCATGAAAACCTACGAGCTGCGTTCAGCTGCCACTTTGTTTAATAAGCAGAATCTCTGGTCGACTAGTTTTCACAAAACCCAGAGGGAATAGAGATCGTCTCATTCAGAAAGACAGAGAGATGGAAATGGTGTTTCTGTTTCCTGCTACTCCACCACAAACACTGATGTTTTCAATGAACTGAATAAATTCCACCATTCTCATGGGAATGATCTGATTGCGGTAAAAATATGCAAAACCAAAAGAAATTCTCATTGCAGCAAAATAGTAGCCCAACATGTCATCGTGAGCGCCGACACGCTGCAGGTATTCGTCATCGCTGATATTTGAAAAGAGAGAAAAACTAGACAATGGAAGAAGATTATTTGTTCCAGTGTTCCTAGTTTGCCCGTGACTCACTCACAGTGATGACAAAGGCCAGTGTCGAGCGTCATCACAAGCTCGAAAAAGTGATAAACTGGATGATTTGCAAGTTCAAATGATTCGTCTGCAGGCAAGTTTTGTGGTGAGCGAGCTCACAGCCGAGAAGCTGAAACCTCTTTCAAACAGAGAATTTGCGAAGGAGACGAGTTGTCGCTGCAGAGCTGCAAGAACCAGACAAGTTAAAAGGCTCCAATATGTCAGGT